ACAGAGCCATATCTATTTACACCCACAGGGCTTCAGTCAGAGACTGCTGCACCTGACAGCAGTGCCTCGACCTGCCTCGGGTCATCCACTGTGTTCCATGGGCACCTTGGGAGGGAGGACAGAAATTGGGGATTTGGTCACTGACAGATCACTGGGAGTGTCTGCAGTGAGGGAAAAGTCACTTTGTAACTGCTTGTGAAATGGTGCCCAGATTGGAGGTGTGGAACTGAAACTGTGTGGAGCAGGGGATGAGGTGCTATTTTTATAGACCAGATTTATATGAAGAACATCTGGGTAAAACTCAACTCAGAGACACCAGACTCTAGGACAGATGATTTTTTTTAAAAATGAGGCTGTTTCCTGGAACTGGGGAACATCCAGTTTCTAAGGGACAGCTTTTCACAATGGTCAGTTTATTCAATAATTGCAACTTCACATGGGAGGAGGGAGAGGATTAATTTGGAAGTTTTCAGCTCACTGTGCTGGGAGGGACCAAACTCAAGGAAACCTCTGATCTATATACACAACTGCTGCATTTTTTATAAATATATGTAAATGTCCTATTGTAATATTTGATCCTGGAAATAAAACAAACTGTTTTCAGTAGCTTTCTTCAGCTCTTGGTTTTTTGGGGTTGGGGTTTATTTGTTGGTTTAGTTCTAATGGAAGTCTGTCCCTGTGTTATTTGTGGAGTTCCTGAGTTTTTCTTTAAGGATACTGGGCTAGAAGGATAAGGAGCTGTTGATGACAGCACTGCCCAAGAAAGCTTCAGGCTGTTGTAGAGGATAGAAAATCTTGAAATGGGACAAACTTACAGGACCTTGACAGGAAAAATACCTGTATGAAAATGAGTAAAAAGAGGCAGGGCTAAGTTTTCCATCCTTCCCAAAGGAAGAGCAGAGGAAATGGGGCTCCCTGTTCTGAGCTGTCAGTGTCCTCCTGCTACAGGTGGTGGCAAGGCAGAGCCTCTGACTTGTGCAGCTGAGTTTGGGCTCCTTGGGACGTTCCTGTCGTGGCCTGGTGTGAAATGCTGAGGGCCAGGGGCGCTTCTGGACCAGGACTGCCAGGTACAGTGGAGAAAGAGAAATTAAGAAACCAATTTTGGGTCATCCTCGTGTTCCTGACTGCAGGTAGGTCTCCACTGTGGAGCTCAGCCCCTGCCTGGTCTTGAAGCTGAAATCAGGGAAAACCCTGAATTCTTCACGCAGCCTAGGAAATATCTCCAGTTCCAGCTGAGTCAGGAATCTCTTTACATCAGTCTGCAGGTCAAGGAACTGCAGAGATACCTCAAACTCAAAATACCTCTTGGGTTTCATTTACTTGTTTTTCCTTTCTGTACACTTCCAGCTTTGCATGAGGTTGGTTTATGTGAACTGTAAATTCAGGTGACATTTGTAAGCCCTAAAGGGAATATTGTCCAGCACTGTGTTGGTGTTTCCTCAGCCAGTTCTAGCCACAAACACCCTGCAGGGCTTGTCTAAGGGGATTTTGGAGAAGTCTTGGCTGAGTAGTGGCACAAACAGGTTTGCAGCTGCTGAGGAGGGGAGTGGGAGAGACCAGAGGGGTGCTGAGCATCTTCCATCCAGTGCCCTTCTCACCAGGTCAGACTGCCCTCAGTCTCTTTGGTTCTCCTTGAAGCCAAACCACTCTTGGATGCCAGCCTGCTGTGCAGTTTCCCCAGCCCCACAGGAGCCTGGGGAGGCAAAGGGCAGGAGAGCAGGGAGGTGAAGGCCCCTCTCCAGCTGTGAGGATCCAGCAGGAGGACCTGGCCACGCTGGAACTGCGTTAGGTGGGACCATGTTTGGCTGCACCAGGGCTGGGTGAGTTGGCAGCAAGCTCCTTGCTGTGCTGACACTTTCACAGTAACTCTGGTGTGAGAAAGGCAAGCACGCAGCCCCTCACGTGCAGGGCTAAAATTAGCCTTCGATGAGGATTATTCTTATAAGGAAAAGATCAGCAATCCAGGGAAGAGTCAGCTGGATGCTTCGCACTTCCTGGCGTGGGGTTTTCTGTGGGAGATGATGGAGCAGGTCATGTGTGTGGTGGGAACCTCAGATTGCTGTGACGTAGGAAAGGCACAGGATGAGGTTGCAAAACATTTTCTTCCAGCAGAGTGAAAAACACGTTCCCCTCTTTCAAATTGAAAAAAGAGAGGAAGGAGAACTTGGACTCTGCTTATCCTGCATGCGTTGTCTGTCTTCGTTTTGGAGACTGATTTGTTGTATTTAAGGATGAAATACCCTGAGATTAGCTCAGGTGCTTGAGGCCAGTGCTAAGGCTGCCAGGGTCTCAGGTTCAGTCCCTGCACGGGCTTCAGGGTTGGACTCCATGATCCTGCTGGGTCCCTTCCCCTCAGACTATTCTGGGATTCTGTGACTAAAATGGGAATTCCTCTCCTGGTGCCAGCTCTGATTTTCCTTTCAGAGGGACTGTCAGATACTCTGCTCCTCAGCTCTTATTCACAAGGAATGGAATTGCCTGCTGTAACTCGGCCTCACCCATTCATCTTTTCCCATGTGGCTCTTGGAGGGCTCCCAAAACTTTTCTTTGAGTTCTTCCTTCTGCCTGCACAGCCCACGAGCCATTCTTCTCTTTGCTTGGGCCACCTGCAACTCCTCTGCCAACAAAACTGCCCCATTTTTGCCATTTTTTGGTGCTATTGTTTCCCTGTTCTCCCTGTTCTCAGAGGTCATTGATGTTCTCCTGCTCCTGTTCCTGACCTTCTCTGTGGGAAGTGGAGTTTCCCCGTGGCACGTTAACTGCCAGCCATGGCAGATAGGAAATGCTGATATCTGAGGATTTATGATAATGAAGATATCCAGAAATAACCTGTCTCTCTATATCTCATTACCAAGGCATGAGACACACGTGGTGGGGATGCACTCAGCACCTGAGGAAAAGCTGAGACACCTGTGAGGAAGCAGAGGGTGGGAGGTAGGAGCCCGTGGACACAAGGGAATGTTTGCTCTGAAGCTTTTATTGAAGTATTAGAGAGGAAAGCATTATCCCAACAGGTTGTTCCAGGAGCAGCAATGCTCACTACTCGGGCAGTGGTTGAGGCATTTAGTGCAGACGTGGTAGAAGCCTTAAAATCTGAGGGTGTGCCTGTTTTGGTGAGCTGTGCCAGTGTAGATTCTGAAATGGGGAAGAGCCAGCAGAGGCTGGCTCATGCAGCCACTCATCCTTCCCTGGGATGGGGACACAGGGGGTCATAGCCTGGTGGGCGGCCCTTGGGGGGCAGGAGGGAGGGGAGCACTCGCTGAGCTGTCATAAATATCACCCATGGGTGATGCCTGGGCCAGGGCTCATCCAGGGCTGGACGCTGCTGCCCTGCGTGGCAGCACTCCAGGTAAGCTGGGAAGGGGGGAGAAGCTCCCTGGACTTTGCTGGAATCTCTGTGCTTTTGGTCATGGAGAAGGGAGAAGGGAGTCCTGCCTTCCAGATGGACACAGGAGCACCTGCACTTTGGCTTTGCCCTCCCTGCACAGGGGTCTGTCTGCGTTGGCCGAGGAGCTGCGTGCTCAGGGGGAGGTTTGGGAGGGACAGCACACCATGGGAGAAAGAGACCCCCTGCCATCCCCAGGGAGAGGGCAGCAGTGGAGGGGAAGGAGAGTGCTTGGGGAGGTGCAGGGGAGATGAGCAGAAAGGTGAGAGCCCGGGCTGTGAGCTCAGAGGAGCAGCAGCTGTTCCAGAAGGTGTTGGGGAGGTGGGACTCACAGAGGGCACTCATGGCTGTGGCAGGAAACAGCCACACACAATGCCTGGGCTGTGTGGAAACAGCCACACACAATCCCTGGGCTGCAGGCAGGACCTCACTGAGGGCAAGAGGCCCTAAATTCCCTGTAACCAAGGCAGGGAGGATGGAAATCAGGAGAGGTGGGACTCCAGGATGTGTGGAGCTGATGGTCCCCCTCAGGTGTCTCAGGGCCCTGTCCCTCCATGCTCAGCCCTCCCCAGGGCCCTGCTGGGACTGGCGTGGTCGGTCCCCCTGGACTGGTGTCCCCCTGGACTGGTGTCCCCCAGCCCCCCGGGCAGTGCCAGGGCTGGATGTGCTGCCCTGGCCGCTCCTCCCTGGCCCTGGGGCCCTGCAGGAGGGGCTGAGCTGCTCTTCTCACAGAGCCAACCCCGCGGTGCCGCAGCCGCTTCTGCTTTGCAAAGCCAGAGCAAGAACCAGCTGGAGCTGGGGAACTTGTGCAAAACGGGCTGCAATCGAGCAGGAAAGGGGAAAACGTGTGAGCCCAACTTCAAGCCAAGAGAATTCAGGGTAGAAAACAGCTGGGAGCCAGGGCAACAGCAAACCGTGCTGTTGTCAGCGATGCCAGAGTGACCAAAGGACATCCTGTACAAAAAGGGTCTTGTAGGTGCAGAAGAGAGGCAATTTTGGACGAGGTATCACCTGGAGATGGGCAGGTGCTTTGTAGATAAACTCATAACTTAATAAGATGCCAGTGGAACTGGAGGATAGATAATAATGTTTTCTTAATTAAATGTAGTTGGTTTCACATACTCAGACCTATGGCAGGGACAGGGATGGAATTGCTGTTGGATTCGATTGGAGTCCAATGTGCTTTCACAAGCCCTTGTACAAGGATTTTGCCTCTTTCCTGGCTCTCTCCTGCTCGTTGTAAACACTGAAAGCCAAACTGAGCTGGGGTGGGTGCTTGGCTCTCTGCAGTAACATTTCCGTACAATCTCAGATTGGTTTTGGTAGGAAGGGACCTTAAAGACCATCTTCCCCTGCCAGGAGCTGGGACACATTTTGAAGGAGCCACACAGGTGTTGGGGTTGGATGTGGGAACACCAGTGCCCGTTTGGCAAAGAATTTCCATTGGAAATTGCCTCAGGTAGGGGCAGTGGCAGCCAAAAGCACAACCCAGCAACTCCCAACCACCCGCAGCTGTGAGAAGGGCTCGGGGTGGGGAAGCCTCGGGGCGCTGCGGGCCACACTGGGCCCCTTCCTCTCCTCCTCCTCCTCCTCCCCGTGCCCATGCAGGACAGCCATGTGCGTGGGGAAGTGCAGCCGGATCGTGGGTCCCTGCCTGCTGGTGCTGGGCACGCTCTCCGTGGCAGCCAGCATCCTCCTGCTGTTCCCCGGCGGAGCATCCAAGTACCTGCGGGAGGGGCACATCGGCAGCCACGCCCGCGCCGTGCCGGGGCTCTGGGGCGGCGGCATCGCCGTGAGTACCGCGGGGCGCGCCCGCCCTTCTGCCGGCTCTGGAGCAGGGCCAGAGGGATGGAGCAGGGCAGGCGGCTCCCCTTTGTCCCCCAGCTGTGCTTTTGTCCCCGCAGGTGCTGCTGGCAGCGACTCACGTCACGGCGCTGGGCTGGCGGCGCTCCGGCTGCTCCGCCCGCCACAGCGTAAGCCGGGGCCGGGAGCCCGAGCCGGGCAGCGCGGCGGGACGTGGCCTGGGCAGCTCCTCCGTGTCCCCGCGGCGGCACAGGGCAGGGTGGCACAGGGCAGGGACCCTCCCCTGCCAGGGCCCCGAGGTGGCACAGGGCAGGGACCCTCCCCTGCCAGGGCCCCGAGGTGGCACAGGGCAGGGACCCTCCCCTGCCACGGTGGGTTGTGGCGGGTCCCCCTCCCCTGTGCTGGGCACAGACCCCTTTCTCAGGTGCCACGGTGGGATGTGGTGAACGCCCCCCGTCCCCCAGCGGGTCCTGAGGCAGGGTGCTGCTCTCCTGTGGCAGGGTGCCACGGCAGGGTGTCACCTCCGCAGGGGACAGGCTCCAGTCCGTGCTGGGATGGGCTCTGCAGGTCCCTGCCTCTCCCTCCTCCCTGCCCACGTCTGCCATCCCAGCCGCGCCTCCATCCTCAGCCACAGCTGGGGAGGGCAGTTTCCCCCCTCTGTTCCCAAACTCTGCTGACAAGCTGCAGCCGCTTTTTGTGTCCCCCTGATTAGTGCGTGCCCCGCGGGTGTCGCTGCAGGCGTTCCTGTCCGTGGTGCTGTCCAAGCTGGCTCTCCTGGGCGCTGCCGCCTGCTTCGTGCTCTGCGGGGTGGGGCTGACGAACGGGCCGCTCTGCCTCCACAACAGCACCGCGCTCGGCCCCGGGCACTCGGCCCGCTGGGGGTACCCCTTCCTGGATGCCACTGACCTGGGGCCTGATGCCAGGTGAGGGCTGAATCACCGCTGCTGCCTCAACTTATTGCTAATTAAGTGGATTAATGAAGGGGAGGGGGGGTGGGTGCTTGCTGGTGGTGGTTGATGCAAGACCCTGGTAGCTGGAGGAATCCTCACCTTCCATGGGTTTCTACGTGGTGCTTTCCATCATCACCCTCCCACCTCCCAGATGAAGCAATTGTAATATCAAGTAACAGAACAGAACTCAAATAAGACGTTGCAGCACTGTTTGGTAGTTTATTATGAAGTGGAATCATCCCTTTGTATTCACTCTTTGAACCCCACTGCTCCCATTTCTTTACTTCAGACTCTTACCAACATTTCATCATATCTGAACCCATGGTTAATGTTTTATTCCAATGTTTTTGCACTGGAACATCTTGACATTAGCTTCCATATTTTTGCTTCCAGTGGTCAGGTCAATTCAGGAGAGATGGCAGAATTAGTTCTTGTATAGGTTTCTTTCCCTCCTGTCACCGTATGTGCTACAAAATAATTCTGTTCTCTTTTTAGATTCACACACATGCATGCATGTGATTCTTCTAACCATTCTTTTTCTTGCCTGCTCCTTTCTTTTTTGCTTCTAAGCTTTTATTCTGCTCATCCCTTGGATGTAGGATGGGATGTTTGGGGGATGTTTCATGGCAGAAAGTGATGGGATTCTGGACCTGCTGCAGGCAGCACCCTGCAGCTTCTCCCCTTCCTGTCACACAGGACTGAGAACTACCTGTACAACCGGAGAAGCTGGAGCGTCTGCCTGGAGCCCCAGGGCATCGTCACCTGGCACGTGGTCCTGTTCTCCCTCCTGCTGCTCATCAGCGTGGCCGAGATGGTGCTGGCCTTGCTGCAGATCCTCAACGGCTGCCTGGGCTGCCTCTGCGGCTTCTGCGACGGCAAGTAGGGCCCGGTGGCAGTGCCAGGAGGAGGTGTCACCTCGGCTGTCACTTGGCTGCCGGCACACGCCGCAGAGAGGGCACAGCAGGAGCCGTGACCCCAGCCCGGTGCAAGAGCCCTGTGTGAGACTGACAGAGCCCCCTGGGATGGACACCCAGGGGCTGACGAGCCAAGGGCTGCTCCTGTGCAGCTCCCCTGGCTGGGCCAGGTCCCTTCCCTTGGGGCTGGCGGCCGTTTGGGGTTGGGAAATGGCCCGGTAAGGGATGGAGGTGAGGACCTGGCTTCCAGCATCCCGGCATGAGCCCAGCATCTGCCTCAGCCACCCCTCGTGGTACTGACAGGAGGCAGAGAAGCAATTTCTGACCCCATTTGGAGCATTAGAAAGCAGGCATTCCTCATCACAGAGCTGGACACACGCAGGATATCTCCTGTAGCTGAATGTGTGTTGTGGAGCTCCACAGCAGGGGCTTTGCTCCATCATGATCAGACAGGTTCATTACAAGGGGCTTCCTAGAGAACACATAAACATCACTTTTCCTAGAAGCAGTTTACATGCCTCCATCCCTTCCTGGAAGTCCTCTTTTGATCCTAGAGGGCTGTCTGCAGGGGTGTCTGCTGGCTGCACTCCCTGAGTGCCCCAGTGCTGTGACCTTGCCTTGAATGTCTCTCAGGGCACAAGCTGCTGTTTCTTGTTACATAACTTTGCCACAAAAGTCACCATGTTCCTCATTACCTGTTTTTCCACTGGTTCCAGCTGTGTTTAGCATGCTGTCTGCCTACTTTTACACCTTTTTATCTCACTTGCTAGTTAGTCTTTAAGTTCTATTTTGCAACTTCAGTGGAGCTGAAAATTTTTATTCTACATATTGTCTGTCATTTGTCAGCCACCACCCACCCCGGTGGAAAATGAGACATGGTGGTGTCACAGAGTGAAGAGCTGGACACTCTTGTTAATCAGTTTTGTTAATCAGTTCATATTTAGGGCACTTGAGCAGGGTGTTTGTCACCTGCACGGGCCAGGACAGGCGAAGGAGCCCTGAGGAGCCGTGCTGGAGCACTGGGATGGAGTCGTGCTGGGGGAGGCAGAGCAGGAATTGAGGTGTAACCCCCAAAGTTCACCCACACACCAGTGTCAGGAGCAGCTGCTGCTCATTCCCCAGAGCAGGACCCCGCTCCTGTGCTCAACCCCTTCCCCACAACCTTCACAGGACCCAGTGTGGGCCTGAGCCTGATGGGCTGGGAGGGGGTTGTCTCCACACTGACAAAGATCAGAGGAGAGCACTGATGGCCATGGCACATAAAAAACCAAATCCCAGAGCAGACAAAGCAGTAACTGGGCCATTGGGGTGGTTGAACCCCAGCTGGCACCTGAGCCACTCACCCCCATGCCATGGGAGGGTGAGAGAATTGGAGGGGTGAAAGTGTGACATCTCCTGGGTTGACATAAAGACACTTTAATTGAAATAATGATAATAAATTGTAATAAAAAGGAAAATAATGAAGAGAGAGAACTAAAAGCCCAGACAGACAAGTAATGCAATACAAACATTTCTTTATCATCAGCCCAAATATAAACCCCAGCCCCATCCCAGCTACAATGAAGGAACGGAACTCTACCCCAGCCCAAACCCTCAGAGTGACTTCAGAGAGACCATTGAAAAAAGCCTTTTCATGAAAAAGAAAGAATTTAACATTATATACCATATGTATATAGCATAACTATTTATAACAAGGGGAGGAAAGCCCTCAGAGCAGGGTGGTGGTACTAGGTATGGCACAGCTGGAGCACCACATCCCCCTGAGCCAGCACCTGGCACACAGGGCTGGCACAGGGTACCCCTGGCTGCCTCCCCCCTGCACTGCTGCTGTTGCCCCCCAGTATCTGTTTCCAGAGGTGGCTCTCGCTTGGAGAGGAGCCTGGGGGCAAAAGCCTCCCTACCCAAAACAGAATTTAAAAAATAGCAATAAAAATGAGATAAACCCCAGTGTGGGGACAGTAACACACCTCTGTGCTGTGTGGCCGTGCTGGATGGTGGCAGAACCCAGCCTGTGGGTTGATGCTCCAGGATCCAGCACTGGGGTGGTGACGGGAGCCAACCTGGGCAGGCTCTAGGAGATGAGGCAGCTCCTCTTCCTCCTCTTCCTCCTCTTCCCCGCGCGGCGCCGCCGGGGAGCAGCGGCCGTCAGGGGGATGTTCTGGAGCACGTCGTGCAGCGTGAACATGCTGAAGGAGATCTGCTCGTAGGGAGACCTCATCCCGTTCTCGTAGAGGCAGGCGAAGGCGATGGCCGTGCCGCCGGCCACCGGCGCGTCCCTGTAGGGCAGCTCCATGTACGCCAGGTCCGAGTAAGCGCTCGGGCCCTCGTAGATGACCCAGGGCTCTGTCCAGCTCTCTGCGTCCCTGGGGAAGGTGCTCAGGTGAACCCCCATGTTCACCCGTGACATGGAGCTGGTGGGGTGGGAGTAGAGGATCCACGTTGGTGCTTGGAAGAAGGGAGTGGGGCTGGGGGTTGCTGCAGAGTCTCTCTGGACCGAGGTGACATTGTGGGAGTCATCGTGACGCCCTGGGGTAGGACAATCCCCGTCGGGCTCATCTGGCTTGTGGTGGTTGCCAGCGGGCAGCTCAGCACCTCCTGCCTGTTGGGCGGGCGGGTGCCCAAACCCCCGGAGCGCCCCAGGAAGCAGCCGGCAAACTGAGCCTCGGGGGGGCATCCCGGTGTCCCAGGAGGCGGTGGGGACATACAGGAAGGGCGCGGGGAAGCCAATGACACTGCCGTGACAGCCGTGGGGGGGCTCCACCAGCCGCTGGACCAGCTGCCCGCCGTGGAAGACAGCCCCGTCATCCGTGCTGAGCGCCTGGACCCTGAAGCCCAAGGGGCTGCGGGCGTTGCAGTAGAGGACATTGGATCCGTCCTCCTCATCCACAGAGACCAGCTGGCACTCGCCCGTCTGCAGGTTGGGGATGAACTCCCCGAAGCGCCAGCCGCGGCCGTGGTCGTCGCTGTAGAAGGCGAAGGAGTGCGGGGTGGTCTTGCAGAGCTGCCCGAAGCACTCCTTGCAGTCGATGTGGTAACTGTAGGCGGGCACCAGCAGCCGGCCAGAACGCAGCTGGATCCCGTGCCCGGGGCCCAGCGCGAACGTCGCCCAGTCTGGAGAGCACAGATGGAGAGGGATGAGGGTGGGATGGGGTCAAGAGTGACCACCACGGTGGCCTGCCATGCCCAATGTGGAAAGGTCCCAAGGGCTTCCTCTCAGTCAAGCCAAGCCAAGTGGTGGGTTGGGAGGGCAACAGAGCCCAGTGCTACCTAGCTGTCCTCACACATGCTCCTACCTATGGCTATGGGGCCTCTCCATCTTCTCCCCACTCCCAGTAACTGATACGGATACTCCCTCCATCCCTTCTCCCCTCTGCTTGAGGTCCTCCTCCACCTTTTTGGAAGTTTGTGGGATTCCTATGTCAAAGTCACCCCTAGCAATGCCACTGGTGGCTTCAGGAGACCAAAACCCAGAGCCACCCCCATGCTGGCTGCTCTCCCCTCTCCTCACCCCCTGCAGCTGGGTACCTTTGATGGTCGCACCAATGACCTGCTGGGTCAGATCTGTGGCTGTGCTCCAGCTCAGGCCCTGGTCAGCACTGGTGACACAGCAGAGGCGGGTGACATTTTGGCCAGTGACAATCTGGTAGGCTTCGGGTGTCCTACCCAGCACCGTGATGAAGAAGAGGAAGAGGGTGCCCGTGAACTCATCGTAGAGCGGGCAGGGGTTCATTGACCGATGGTGCTGCAGCGTTGCTGTCTCCAGCACACGCATGTCTTCCCACTGCCAGGGAGGAGGAGGAGGAGGAGGAGAGGACAGAGAGGGTAAGGACCATCCCACTTTTTTGCCCAGAACAGCTGTGGCTGCCCCATCCTTGAAGTATTCCCAGCTCGGCTGGACGTGGCTTGGAGGCAATCAGTGACAGCAGAAGGTGTCCCTGCCCATGGCAGGGCATGCAATAAGATGGCCTTTGAGATCCCTTCCAACCAAAACCAACCTGTGACCCTGTGATTCACTCCACCCATGCCAGCCTCCCCTCCCCATGTGGCTGCCTCCAGCAGCCTGGCTATGCCACACCCAAGCGATGGGGACAGCCCTCAGCATGTCCCCATGCTGGTGCGCCCGTCCCACCTCCACGTAGCTGCCGTAGATGGTGCCACGGCGCAGCACCAGCAGGTTGGCGTGGGCATCGTCGGCGCTGAGCCGCTCCTCGGCGAACGCCAGCAGCTTGGCCACGCAGGGCAGGTAGAGCAGGGCGGGCACACGGTACGTGACACCGCTGGATTCCTTCTCAAAGAGCACCGTCCGGGCCGGGAAGTGCCGGGAGCCCATGGCAGCTGCAGCACAAGGATGTGGTGGGCTGGTGAAGGTGGGGACACATGGGAAGGTTGGGCATGGACAGGGCTGTGGGGTTGTCCTTGGAAGGGTTTGGAGTTTAACTTGGTGGGCTTGGGTCTGGGTAAGCCCCCGGGAGCAGGGGCTGAGGGGCAGGGCTGGGGTGGAGAGGGGCTGAGTGTGTCACCACAGCTCAGAGGTCCATCAGGGCACACGGTACCAGCGAGGAGGCTGACCTGGGGATCCCAAAATAAAAATGAAATAAAATGAATTTGATCTTTAAGATGCCTGTCTGGGAAATCAAGGCCGGTGAGCAGAGAGCAGGGTGAGAGCTGCAGCTCCATGCTCTCTTCCAGCGGGCACTGGGAGGGCAGAGCCCACAGACGAGAGCTCCGGAGCAGCCCGGGCTCATCGTGACAGGGTCAGGGAGTGTTCCTGTGCTGCCTCCAGTACAATGGACCCAGCTGACCCCTTGTTCTCCCTCCTCTGTGGGGGGAAGCTGAGGTGCACAGCACCAACAGCGGGGTCCCCAGCTGGGCTGTCCCTGTCGCAGTAGGTGAGAGCTATTCCCAAATACCTTTCCTTCAGGGACAGGTCAGCTGTCCCCTGCTTATGTCCCTACATTTTTCTGGAGATTACCACCACAGAAGGAGATGGTCATCCACTCCAGGCTCAGCTGGAGCCACTCTCACCTGTGGTTTCATCAGGAGCTTTTGCTGATTCAACACCCCCCGGAGAAAGCGAAGGCACTCACCGGGTCCTGCTCAGCGGGAGTGTCCCCTCTGTCCCTCGGCCCCAGCACGGAGTAGCGCCGGCTTTCCGCAGAGCTGTCGCCTCACTGCTTCGCCGCCGCCCCTCTCCTCCAGGGTCCCCCCTCCGATGGGTCACGGGGCTCCCACGGCGTGCCCGGCAGAAATCCCTGAGTCAGCAGCGGCGCTGCGGCGGCGCCCGGGGCACAAAGGCTCCGTTATGGGCTCGGGCACAGCCGGGGGCCCGCGGCTGCCGAGCCACCTTGCTCGGACCCCGGGAGGGGAAGCAAGGGGATCCAAGAATCTCCTGCCTCAGTTTCCCTCCTCCTGCAGGCTGGGAGAGGCTGGACTTCCCTGTCAAGGGGCTCCAGCCCATGTTCACCACAGTCCACCCTGCTCGGAGCTCCCCAGCCTGGGAGCTGTGGTCCAGAGGGTCCCAGCCCTCCCGGGACCCCCAGCCCTCCCAGCCTCTCCAGGATCCCCAGCCCTATCAGGACCCCCAGCACTACAGAATCCACAAACTTCCCAGGAACCCCAGCCCTCCCAGGATCCCCAGACTTCCCAGGACCCCCATCTGCACACAGATCAACTACTAAGAAAACATTTTTATACCTATATTCCAATATTCCATCTCTGTGATCAGTTTAGCTAAAAGGGTTTGACAAAATTCATATGGCAAATCACGGATCAGATGCTCCAAGAGGAAAGCTGAGGTGGAGGCTGCAGAACTGCCTGGGGCCCAGGGTGACCATGTGTGGCTCCAGCAGGTCTGCCTGGCTGCTACAAAAGCCTCAGGTTAATTTTAGTGAAGCAAAGTGCTGTTAATATGGGTTGTTCCTGCTGGACACCTGGGCTGGTTAACCCCTGCCTCAGCTGCTAAACACAACTGAGGAAAATCCTGGCTCTACTTCTCACCCCTCTCCCCCTGACAGCATCACTCCTGCTTCCAAGCTGGAGCTGCTGTCCCACAGCTTCACCCCCAAGGCAACACTGTGCCAGCCAAGTGACCCCAGATCCATCCTCTCCATCCTGCCATCCAGGGCCCTGCTGCTGTGGCAGGAAGGTTTGTGAGGATGGCAGCACCAAGCCAAATGGATTTGGTGTCACTGCTTGTCATCTGTTCCCAACACATCTGTTAGTGCCAACTTACACTGATAAAACCCCAGTATTTTAAAGCTGGGTCAGCATCTCCTCCTGCTCGTGCTGGTCAGGGCAGCAGCAGGGACCTGCATGCACCAGTGTGCCCAAAGCTGTGCCTCACTCCATCCCCTCCTAATCCGTGCCAGAGAGTTTGGCCAACACAGCAATGGGAGCTCCAAAAAAGTGTCTGCTTTGCCAAAAAAAGGGCTTTGGGGATGCTGCACCCAAAGGAACATGCATGCCCAGGCAACCTTGCCTGAGATCGAGGGGCAAAACCTCCTCCCAGGGGAGCACCAAGCTCTTCCACATGTGACAGAGGCCCATTCACCTGGTGACACATGTGAGAGACACAGCTTACATGCCACTGGGCAAGGCAGCCAGCCTGCCTGGCTTTGGGCAGGATGCCTGGGACTCCCACAGCAAAGGCAGCTCCAGCAGTGTGTGTGGTTAGTCCTCACTGAGCGCGGATGCTGCTGGATGGGACACCCACCATCTCTCCTGCTTCTCTGAGCACTGTGTCCCCTTGTCACACCCCCCTCACTTCCCTCCCCCTCCCCTAAACCCTCCGAAATCAGGACTTGCTCCAGTGAGCTGTGACCAGACTGATGCAACAATGGATATCAAATAAAATCAAATGAAGGCAAATGATCAACCTCCTGATTAATGATTAAGAGGCTGGAATGTCTTGGCCAGCTGCAGCCAGCCTGGCTCCCTCCAGCCAGGAGCAGGCAGATGGGATCACCCAGGATCTGGACAATGCAAAGCCTTTGGCTCAAGGTCCCCAAAAAGAGACCAACCACCAACTTGGTGTCCCTAAACAAAGCCCCCACTGCCTCCCCCTCATGTACAGGAGTCCTGTGGGTCAGTTTCATGTCAGACAAGGGGTGATGCAAAGCGGTGGGAAGCCACAGTGGGTTGTCACATGTCCTAGTTGGACCCTGGGAGCTGCATCTTCTCCTGGAGACTGGTCCACAGCAATGGCAATCCCACATCTTTCCTTTTCTTGTGCGGGTGTTGGACAGCATAAAGGTAAGACGTGTACTGGAGCTCTGGTATGACCATTTTCTGGCAGGTTCTCAGAGTCGTGTTGTCCAAGTCTTGTTTGATGTTGTAACCCAGGATATTTGCAGCCCCTGACTGGAAAGGTAGGAGAGCTTTATTCCTGATGTGATCCTTCCTCACTGCCTCCTGCTCTGAGAGACAAGTCTCCATGAGCTCCTTCTGTCTGGTCCGCAGGTGATCCACCTCCTTTTCCAGCATCTCCAGCCCTATGGTCTCCTCAATTCTCCTCCAGAAGCTCTGGTTGAAGTGCAGGTAGAGCTTCCAGTCCAGCGAGCACCAGGCTTTTATCTGCTCCTCACTTTCCGGAGTCAACGTCTGGACAGTATCCTGGCTTCTGGAATTGAGCTTGAAGTAAATCACATCATCCAGATCCCAGCACAAAGTGTGCTTCAAGAGGATCATGGACTCATCAAAGTAGTCTGCTATTAAGATGAGGTGGAAGTGCTGCTCGATCTCCTCCAGGACAGCCTGGGTATAGTTCGTGTCATCCTCCGCGTTGTTGTCATAGCCGAAGTCAAACCACATGATATTCCTGGCGTAGATGTTTTTCCTGTAATCTGCTGGGTGGTAATACTTTGTGGGTGATTCCAGGAACTCGTTCACATCCTTGGAGCTCCTGAAGGCAGGCACATAGTCCTTGTAGTAGATGTAGGAAGACTCCAGCAGAGGAATGGGGTTCCTCAGGATGGAGAAGTAGAAGGTGTTGGCTGCCATCACCCTTTTTACCTATTTGTGGGAGGAAGAAGAGGTTAGTCCTGTCCCAGCCAAGTTTCTCCTCAGGTGTCATGGCTCTTTCTTACCTCCAAGGGGTTAAACCGCAGGTGATTGCACATGATGTTGTAATTTTGGCCTATGGTTTCAAAGCCCTCCACAAACTGGGCCACGAAAGTCCTTGGGTATCCCAGGTGGAAGAGCTGGTCAGCAGGGAGGGCGACAGTGAGGTTGTACCTCTCTGCAAACCTGAACATGATGTTGAGCACAGTGCTGCTGGCAGTCTTGTGGGTTTTGAGGAACATGACGTTTGTCTTGGCATGGCACGGCGTGGGAGGGATCAGCAGCTCCTCGTGGCTCTTTGAGATTCTGCAGCAAGGGGAGAGATGGGGCAAAGAGATTCTCTGGTGCTGCACCCCATCTCTGAGATCTGGCAAAGCCAAACCCAGGGGCTCCCCTGACACCACACCTGCAGCTGGTCCAAATCAGCCCCAACCCTTCAGTGTAGATGTTTTCCCCCTCCAGTTTTCCCCCTCTCCAGACCCTCACTAAAAAGACTTCAGCTCAATCCCCTTTTGTCTCAAAGAGGCTGCGCTTTGGCTAATTCGATTCCTTCCCCAAACAAGCACCTAGTTTTGAGCCACCTCCCTTTGAACATTAGCCCAAGGCCTTATGAGAAATAAATCAGGTGTTAGAGGTCACGTCCCAGCTGCTCCAGGCACAGGAAATTGTGCAACCTTGCTTCTGCCTCACTTACCTGTAATTCTTACTCTTCATATGGAAGAATCCCGAGAGGCAGGAAAGTCCCAGGCAGAAACTGAAAATGATGAGACACCTGGCATGCCTGGAAAAAAATAAGAGTTTCAGTGGATTTTTATCCAATAATCCTTCCCCAAACCACCACATTTTGCATCTTGCCCTCAGGAATGTGAGCACAGTTTTATATCTCAGTTTTGGCAGCCACCTTTGGACCTTGAGCAGGTGTTAGCAGGCGTTAGAGGCAAGACAGTGAGAAACTGCACTTTTTCTATTACCCTCCTAATTCAGCCTTTGGCAAGACACAGTGTGCTTCAGGCAGAGCTTAAGCTCTTCCCACAGCCTCCTGCTCTGCTTGGCTGCCTTTTGTTTTGCTTTTCTTTTGGTTTTCTGGGGCTTTAGAGCTTATTCACTATTCAAACTCCTAGATTATTCACCAGAAAACGAGCCCTTTGTAGGGGTATAAAGACTTCCCTAGTGAGAAACCTGAGCGGCTCCTGTAATCACATCACTCCAGAAGATAGGGATTGGGAAAAAAACCACTAAACTGAGGAAAAAAATTCACCAAACTGCGGGTCTTTTGCAATATAAGTACAATTTTTTCCAGATGGAAAATCAAATAACCTAACAGCACCTGTAATGGATTTATTACACCCCACTTTGAAATGGGGGGGTGGATAATGATGAGGGAGGAGTAATTTCCAGCACTAATTAAGCAACCACGATGTATCAAGGGTTGCCTGCATATTGCAGGCGGGTGGAATGGCATGGTCTTTAATGTCTCTTCCAATTCAAACAATCCTATGGTACCATGATCATCACCAGTGTACTCCAGCTGGGACACAGAGGGGATCTTTTGAAGGCTTGATGCCCACCTAAAAGGAATTTTTCACTACCAAGTTTGATCTGACTTCTCTCACCCTAGAAGCTTTTTTAGCTCTGTGTGAATCTCATATTTGCAGACACGGCCAAAATGCAGCAGATCTGGCTCAGGCTTTACACTGTTTTGAGAAGACATAATCCAAATTTATGGCATGGTATGGTCACACTTGTTTCCACCCTCCAAAAGGAGCAAGCAAGCCTTCAAGTCTTCCTCCAAAAGCCCTTTGGAAAGCCAGGGAAGACCCTCAGCCATAGCTGGTACCCATCTCTGACAGGAATTTGCAGCACAGCTTCTGCATGATGAGTTTCAAGACAGACCTGCAGGCAAGATTTCATCAGGATTTCCTAATTTTTTGGCCCCAGGCCTGTTAGGGGGATGGGAGTGGGACAATCCCCTGTCCTTAGAGATCAGATGGGAGAAGAAAGGCAGAGGAGCTAATGGGCAGGGAGCAAGCTGCATGCAGCCCCCACACCAATCTTCTTGGTCTTCCATTTAAACTGAGGCTGCCTTCTGTCTGATGGTTTTCCAAAGCACATCACCCTGTCTGCCTGGAGGTCCTCCCTAAGCTGACATCCTCCTGCTGCACGCTTTCTGTTGAGTTTAACGGGTGCAGTAACAGTCCATTTATTAATTTAGGTAGTGTCCCCAAAATGGCAACTCTGAATGATGTTCTATGGGGCAAACAAATCACATACACCCAAAATCATCCTGAAGGCAGATCCAGATCACAATATGCTCTAGAAGAACTATCAATCCCTTCTGCTGCAAGAAGACAGGCTCTGTAGACCTCTGCACCGTATCACCTCAAGGCATCCCACAATATTTTAGTAGTTGTTTACTTAAATAAAGGATTACACTGTGCCATTCTGCCCCCAAATATTCAGACACATTCAGCACACTGAGCCAAACTCCAGCCTAACTGAATGCTCCCAGAGACCCATTTTATCTGGATGTGGCCCAAAGAAAACAACAGCTAGATTTTGTCCCTGGAGACACAGGGACAAATGAAGGTTTGAATTATCTAGGCCAAAACTATTTCTTCCTGGAATGGTCAGTTTTAAGGAGCAAGAGTGACTGATCTCTGCAGGGTCCATGCAGGTGCCAGTCCCCATGCAGAAATGGCAGGCTCCTTGTCCCAGGGATGACAAACAGTGCATTATCATGGCATGGTGCTTGTTCCTGTGCCTGGGATGGATGGATGGATGGATGGATGGATGGATGGATGGATGGATGGATGGATGGATGGAAAGGTATCTGCCTTCCAGCCCAGGCAACGAGCAGGGAGTGGTGACACAGAGGGAACTCTGCTGCACCTCAGGCCAGCAAAGGCGAGCAAGGAAGTTGTCCAGAGAAAGAGCCAAGGGCAGGGATCGAGGAGATCCCCAGGGAGGAGTGTGGGAGACCCTGGGGATGAGAGGAGGGCTGCAGGTACCCAGGGTGCTGGCCAGTGCACTCATGGAATCCTGTCCCCATCACCCCCTGGGCTTGGCCACCCACAGTTACACTGTCAGGGCTGTCACTGGCTCCAGTGTGACATCCCCACACACACTGGGGGGAATAAGGTGGCTGAATAAACAAATCTCTCATGCAGCAAACTGATGGCACCTTTCCCTCCTCTTACAACAAGCCTCCATCATTTCTGCACATCTTGTGCTTGGAAACAAATGAGCTCTTGAAATGTTTCAGGGTTTTTACTGACAGAAAACGAGTAGGATCTTCACCTGGAGCATACGCAGTGTTTTGAACACAGTGTCACTGCTCTCCCAGAAAACAGCACAGGGCCAGTGTGGGATTTGCTACCAGACCTGCTTCCAGTATTCATTCCAGAATGAGCAAGACATGACAACTGTTTGAAATTCTGCAGAGAATGATTACATCTCAGGCTCTCTGTGCTTCAAATGCATGTAATGGAAATTATGAGAATATTAAGAAGCATTTGGAAAATGCTCTCATGCACTTGGTGTGGTATTTGGGATTGTCCTTTGCAGAACCAGGAGCTGCACTCGATGATCCCTGTGGATCCTTTCCAGCTCAGAATATTCTGATCCTATGTCTGCAAAGCTGCACTGGCATTTCACCCCCGCTTGGCCCCCACCACGCTGGCACATCTCTGTGAGAGCCTTAAGCTGTGTTCCCTTAGTGTCACACACCCCCTTTGTCACAACACTGCAAGTCTCTAACCTGCACAGCATCACGGAATTGTTTAGGTTGCAAAATACCTCTAAGGTCTGGTGAAGCCAAGTTCAAGAGAGAAAGCCCAAATTTGAATGCTGCGCTGAAGTTACCTGAACGAGCCTGGAAGACCCTTAAGTGGCACATGGGAGCTGACTGCTGAGACACAAAATTCTAAGAAGCCAAAAAACCCACGGAGCACTTGGCAAGGCTGGTGCCAGAGTTTCCACTTGCCTTTCCAGCCTGTGCTGTGCTACCTCCCCTCTGGGAAGAAAACATGGAAATCTCCCTCTCCTACAGGTGCAGCTATAGCTGCTTTAAGGCTTGGGACCCCCTTCTTGTTCCTTTGGCTTAAGCTGAAAATATCAGACATCTATATCAAGCGAACAAGGTTCTTTTAAATTAAAAGACCTGGAACGCAGACAAGAAATACCAATGGCAAAATGAATCCCTTCCCTGGAGCAAATTGTAACTAACTCTATAGGTTATTAACAACTTCCAGGGATTACTTAAACCAGACCTTCCTGCAAAGCAAGTTTTAGTTCGGCACCCCGAGCACTCAGCACCCTCTGCCCTTACCTTGGAGTGCACCCAGGGCTTTTCATGCTGCTGCGAGCTGGGAAATATCTCCTTTTGCAAACCGACTGCAGTGCCTGTTTGTCTCCTCTGGCTCTCAGTGGCCAAGTCTCTATTTCTAGCATCCGTTCACTGCTATAAATGGCTGGGATAGGTGAGGACGAAGGGAGTGGCTAGGTGTTCCCAGAAGTGGGTGGGAGTTAATTAATAAGCCATGAAAAGCACTGGTATCCAGGACATCAACACAGGTATAAAGAGCTGCCTCGGGACACGGCGTTCGCAGCAGCTGTGCTGGGAAGGAAAAGTTGAACCGGGATTCCTTAGAGGGGATCCCTTTCTCTCCTGGCTGCAGGAGGGAGGCTCACAGCAGGATCTGGGCAATCTGGGCAGGAGCTGCTGGAGGGCACTGGACCTTTGTCACCCTGCACAACATCACATCGCCAGGGGCCATGGTCAGTGCCTGCTGTCCCTTTTATCTGCTTCTTTCTCAGTGGGTAAGGATAGGAATTCCCTGCTGGACACGTTTGGCAAGAGCTAATTAAGGACAACAGCAAAACAGGAATGGTGTTCACCTATGGAAAATTCCTCTTAAAACATTTAAACTTCAAATTTTTTGGTAAAAATGCAATTATTGTAGCTGGAGGTTAAGAGCTGAACAGACTTGGCTGTATCCAGGCCTTGGGAGGGAGGAATCTTGCCCCTAAAGGGACATTATTTTACGCTTTATCTCTGGTGTCATTAACAACTGTTACAATTCATATTATGCAAGAATTTTAGATTCTACTGAGGCTGCTGTACACCAGGACTCCACAAACTGGGTTTGATGGCTGCAGTTTGTGTTGGGAGAGCGAAATCTGTCCTGCAGGTCTGGAGGTGGGGTCACCTCCCTGCTGCCCATACTGGGATGAAGCCAATGCTCTCCTCATTTGGGCAACTAAAAGTGTACCCACATCTCCCAGCCTGGATTAGAGGGGATTGAGTTGTTACTTTGGTCTTTTATAGCCATGCTGAGTTCCATGCACCTCCTGGTGGTCCCCTTTCCCTCCCCACACACAGCGTCATCTCCCTTCTAACCCTTGTATACTGTTGGCCCCCCACCAGCAGCCAAATCCTCAGCACTCCAGGATCCTTCACCGATGTTGCTGCATTTCCAGAGCACCCAAATACACAGCATTTCTTTTAAAATCACAGCTTCCCCAGACCAGCCCCAAGTCCAGCGCTTACCAAGATGCAGAGATTAGCAAGGTGTAGGGTTGCTTTCCTTGAGTTTCTTGGTAGAACCTGAGTCAATGTGCTCTTTTATGGAGAATTTCTAGGGTTACTCTTGGCATAGCACCAGCTGCTGCTGGCAGGGGGGGCACATTTCAGCGACCTCTTTCTCCTGTTACATTACACACGTCAGCTGTGCCATTTCTCGCTCAGGGGTTGGTAGAGCCCACGGATCACAAAAGCCCATTTTTTACACTTTTACAATTGATTCATTGCTCTCTCCTGGGGTGTTGTACACGAATTGTCAGCTTTGGTTACACCAAAAAAAAAAAATTATGCCAGGCACGAATACTTGTCCTCATGTGGAGGCGGGTTGCTCAGAGACTGGGGCATTGAAGGGCAGCCAGGTGACACAGAATTAGTGAGTTGGGGTGAGATTCATCACTCCATCCTGCCTCTGCTTCCTGTTGGGGGTCTGGCCTTGGGTGAGTCGGCCCCTTGCAGCAGGATGGGGAGAATCAGAAGGTGAAAATGCAAAAACTTGTGGGTTGTGACAAGGGCAGTTTAACAGGCAAAGCAAAACCTGCACAAGCAAGCAAATCAAAAGGAATTCATTCCCGGCCTCCCGCCGCAGGCGGGTGTTCGGCCATCCCAGGAAAGCTGGGCTCCATCACGCATAACGGTGACTTGGGAACACCCCCCTTCCTCCTTCCTCCCCAGCTTTTATTGCTGAGCATGGTCTCCTCTGGTGTGGGAGACCTCTGTGCTCAGTCAGGGTCAGCTGTGTCTCCCCCAGCTCCTTGCACACCCCAGCTCCACACTGGTGAGGAGCAGAATAGACCTTGATGTTGTGTAAGCACCACTGAGCAACAGCTACAACATTCCTGCGCTTCCATCGCTGATCCAAACACAGATCCAGACCAGCCACTGTCAAGAAAATTAACTCTATGCCAGCCATAATCCTGTACAGAGAGGCAAAAACAGTAGAGAGAGACAAGTCCCTACTGTGCCAGAAGAGCACTGGTTCTTAAGTGTGGAGCATTCACAGCATTCTAGTATTTAAGTCTGTCTCAGAAAAATTAGAATTTTGGACAAGAAATTCCTGTCACAATGATTCTTTCTAAAAATACACATACATGTACCCACCCTGTCTCTCCTATAAACAAGAGTGCACCATTATGTGAAAGCATCACTGAGAACACAGAAGCAAAGTCTAGGAAAGATAACCCTACACTAACTCCTCCTTTGCATTCCCCCAGGGAACTGCTTTATTGTTTAGTGAAACAGTAAATCTTACAAGCTTTAGGATCTTCAAGTGTAAGGAAGATGGTTAAATGGAGCTATGCCAGAACTTCCCTGGCCACAGCACAGGGTTGTGTGTCTCCCTCCCAAGAACCCTCTCTGTATACAGCTGAAAAAGAGAATTATGGAAAGTTCCACTTCCCAAAAGGAGCCTTTCATGTGGAAAGTCTGTATTTTACACAGTGATGGTCACTAGTTTAGGGGGAAAAAAAGAAAGAATGGTGTAGGAAAAGGGCAGAAAATATAAACAGCCTGATCCGGAAAGAACTAGCTGCATCAGCCTATCCTGGCAGAAAGCAAATCCTGCATTTTTCTTTTCCAACGACATCATGGACTTCTCATAGCTTTTCATCACCCCACACCTAAGCAGCACAGGCTGACTGTGTTGCACAGGCTGTCTTCTCTTTTCACAGAGCACAGAATTCCAGAACCATTTGGGTTGGGAGAGACCTCCAAGACCATTGAGTGACCAATATTCACCTTGTAACCAGCCCAGAGCACTGAGTACCATGTCCAGGTATTCCTTGAACACCTCCAGGGATGGGGACTCCAGCACCTCCCTGAGCAGCCCCTCCCAATGCCTGACCACCATTTCCATGACAAAATTCTTCCTCTTTGCAAGTGATGGCATTGTTCACTTTGCTTCACCCCAGAAGAGGACAATCAGCTCCTCTCTGACTCGTCCTGAAGAATGAAGGGAGAGGTGGGGAGTGTGCCATAGTGGAGAGAAAGGGCTGAATAGACAAGAGTGGAGAGCAGGTACTGGCAGGCCATGGAACACATGGAGGTATTTCTGTCAAAAGCATCCACAAGGCCAAGCTGAGAGAGGTGTGATCTTAGAACTGTATTGAGAAGGGCATTGCAACACACTGCTGAGCACAAGCCAGCATCCTTAGTGCAATCTGACAGCGTGCAGCCTTGTAGAGGTTGTGTTCTGCCTTAAAACAGCAGAAAACACTCTTTAGGATGGTTTTTCTTTGAAGAACAAGGCTCTGGATGGAACATTTATTTCACTGCTCTGTGGAAGATTCAACATCACTGAAAAGATAGTGGAGAAGATGGCTACTGCATAAGACACCACCTTCCCATCTCTCATGGCATCCAGTAAGGATTTCCAAACCAGTACCCCTGAGTAAAATCCCTCTGAGCACAGCCTGAGCCAGCTTATTACCTGTCCCACAGCTTACCCAGGCAGTCCAGGAGAATCACAGAATCACAGGATGGTTTCGGTTGGAAGCTCACCTTGTTCCAAACCCCCTGCCATGGGCAGGGGACACCTTCCATTAGGCCAGGCCACTCAAATCCCTGTTCAGCCTGGAGAGGATTGTGGGGAAGAGTATCAATGGTTTTGCTGACATCCACTGCTCTACCCATATTGACAGAAAACATCCTTTTGTTGTAAAAGGTTACCAGCTTAGTGACACTATTTACCTTTGGAAAATTCCCTGGCTCTTTCTTATCACCACCTGCTTCATTTGGATACAAGAGCCCAGGTTTTGAGTGACACGTATCAGTAAATACGGATATGACTAACAAACGCCAAGTAAGCCCGAAGATTAATGACTCACTGCCCTCTGTAGCAGAAAGGTGACAACGTGGTTTTGTACAACAAACCGTAAATGACAGAACAGACTGTAGCACGTAAAACCAAACTCTAAAACCAATAAAACCTTCATGTTAGAACAGTTCAGCTGGAAGGAACCTATGACAATCATCTGGTCCAACTGCTTTGACCAGTTCAGGGCTGCCCTAAAGTTACACCACTGCTCAAATGCCTCTTAAACACTGACAGTCTGGGGCACCAACCACCTCTCCAGGAAGCCTGCTGCTGTATTTGATTATATTCTTTATAAAGAAACACTTCCTCATGTCCAGCCTGAACCTCCCCTGGCCCTGCTTTGAGAGCAGCATTCCTACGAGATCAGCACTTCCCTCTCCATGCCCCCTCCTCAGGAAGCTGCAGAGGGGGATGAGGCTGTCCCTCAGCCTCCTTCTCTCCAAAGCAGACAAACCCAGAGCCCTCAGGCTGCTCCCAGGTCCCTCCAGCCCCAGCCCCAGCGTGGTTCTCCTCTCCTGGACATGCTCAGGCCCCTTCCCACCATCTCCAAGGCTGCAGCGCTCTGGGTGAGGCGCCCCAGTGCTGAGCACAGCCAGGCCAGCCCCTCTCCTGACCCGCTGCCCACACTGTGTGGGTGCCCCAGGATGCCACTGCCCTCCTGGCGATGGTTCCTGCTGAGCTGCTGCACCCAGCAGCCCCAGACCCTTCCAGAGGGCTGCTCCCCAGCCCCTCCTCTCCCAGCCCACCCTCGTGCTCAGCATTGCTCCACCCTGGGTGCAGAACCCAGCACGGGCACTCAGCAATTCTGTGCCACTGGCACTGCCCCGTGGTGCATCTGTGCAGATGAGATCAGCACTTCCCTCTCCATGCCCCCTCCTCAGGAAGCTGCAGAGGGGGATGAGGCTGTCCCTCAGCCTCCTTCTCTCCAAAGCAGACAAACCCAGAGCCCTCAGGCTGCTCCCAGGTCCCTCCAGCCCCAGCCCCAGCGTGGTTCTCCTCTCCTGGACACGCTCAGGCCCCTTCCCACCATCTCCAAGGCTGCAGCGCTCTGGGTGAGGCGCCCCAGTGCTGAGCACAGCCAGGCCAGCCCCTCTCCTGACCCGCTGCCCACACTGTGTGGGTGCCCCAGGATGCCACTGCCCTCCTGGCGATGGTTCCTGCTGAGCTGCTGCACCCAGCAGCCCCAGACCCTTCCAGAGGGCTGCTCTCCAGCCCCTCCTCTCCCAGCCCACCCTCGTGCTCAGCATTGCTCCACCCTGGGTGCAGAACCCAGCACGGGCACTCAGCAATTCTGTGCCACTGGCACTGCCCCGTGGTGCATCTGTGCAGATCCCTCTGCAAGGCCTCTGGTCCCTCCAGAGTCCACAGCACTCCCAGCATAGAGTAACAACAGAGTGGTTTGTTTTGGAAGGGATCTGAAAGCCCATCTCATTCTACTTCTCTGCTATGGGCAGGGACACCTTCCACTAGACCAGGTTGTTCCAAGCCCCGTCCTTTTGGATTATCACTCCAGGTTATCCCAGATATTAAAACCTCTCTGTGAGAGCAAATCACGATTTGCTGTGAAGAGCAGACTGGAATTCAAGAAAGCAGGAAATACTGGCATGCCTAGAGCCTGCCCCTGCTCAAGCAGGAGGGCTGGGATCCCCTCCCTCATCCTGGCTGCTGCTACTTCTCCTCCAGTTAATAAAATCCAGAAGCTGGGTCTCCAGCATCCTCTCTTCTCTGGCCAGTCCTTTCAGCACTGCAAACCTGTACATGGGACAACACTGGTGCTTATTTGGGAAAACCTGGAGGTGGCATCACTAAAGAAGCCATAGCCAGATACTGGTGTGGGTTTTGGGATAAGTGTATTAGATAATAAGTGAGGAAGTGTCTCAGGTTCAGCTGGGTGCATATTAAATTACCATCTGTTAAAGGTAAGGCAGTTCTCTTCTGCTCATGGGGCAGTTTTTTCTTGATCTCTCCCACAGCCAATCCTCCCTCCAGCAGATCTCTGCTGTTCATGGCCAGGGAGTGTCCCTGCAGGGCTGATCAAATTCCATCATCCCATGGGGAGATGCTCCGCCCAGGGCAGGAGCCAGGCATTCCTACCTGGATACAATCTGAGCCTGGAACAGCACAGCAGCCTTTGCCCACTGCATTCCCAGAGGAGCAGCTTTCTCCTGCCCTGCATTCCCAGAGGAGCAGCTTTCTCCTGCCCTGCATTCCCAGAGGAAGAGCAGGCCCATCTCCAGCAGCCCTGGAGCTCCAGAGGAAAACTGCAGCCTTGTGCAGGATCCCTGCTCCAGCAGAACCACAGCTGGCACTGCAGGAGGGCTGAGCCCCCATGGGATGGGACTGTGCCACCACCCTGACACACAGAGTGTCAGAGCATATTCTGACTCTGGCAGTGGTTTTTTTTGTTTGTTTGTACTATTGCATTTGTATTTTAATTCTCCTAGTAAAGAACTGTTATTCCTATTTCCGTAACTTTGCCTGAGAGCCTCTCAAGGTTCAAAATCATAACAATTCAGAGGTAGGGGGTTTACATTTTCCATTTCACAGGAGGCTCCTTCCCTAGCAGACACCTGTCTTTTTCAAACCAAGACAGGAAAAGCAACACCTTCACTTGGAAGACTTACATCCACAGGTTCTCCTGTGCCTCTGATGCTTCACTTGCACAGCCCAAGTGACAAAATGACTCCTTTGGCTGCTGTCACTGATAAATCAGAGCAAACCCAAGGGGGGAGAGAGCTGGAATACTCATACACTAACAGCATCTCTGTGCTTGGTTTCAATGCTCAGACTAAGTAGGAAACCCAGCAGTGCGCTCTTCAGCAAGAGCAGGCACCCCCAAAAATAGCAACCACATTCCTTTACTTGTTCCATGCCACTAACAAAATCAAACATGGAGCACTCCACGTGCTTGCTGATCCAGTGTGCTTATGGTCCAAGTGCAGGTACAGAGCTGGAGCTGCCCTGCTCTGCTGGCTCCTCAGCATGTGCTCCTCTAGGGAGCTGAGGGCAGAGTCTTGTAGGGGTTGAGGATCCCTTTGGGGTCGAGCATGGCTTTGAACCGCTGCATGAGCACGACTGCCTCGCGAGGTTTGCTGTACTGAATGAACTGCCTCTTCTTGAAGCCCAGCCCGTGCTCTGCACTGATGCTCCCACTGCACCTCACAGTCCACTCATACACGAAGGGCTCGATGGCATCCAGCAGGGAATGGCTGTAGGACTCCGCTGTGATATTCAAGTGCAAGTTCCCATCTCCTGGAAGAAAACATTGCACAGGTGGGTCAATGGATACTCATTCCTGGCTCCTCCACGTTCTCAAACAACAGGGTCTTTGTTAGTCTGCAAACTGTGCAAAAAGGACAAGCTCACTGTCCTAGAAACATCAGCCTCTCCATGCACAAACAATTTAAATAGGATCTTTGCTTTTCCATGCTCCAAGTGCAATATTTGAGGAAAGGTTCTGAGTTAAGCTGCTTTCAAACTCCAACTTTTGTGATTTTCAAATTCCCACTGTGCTGCATTAATGTTTGTGCCACCACCGTGATGCAGTGACAAAGACTTGCTCAATGGCATTTCATAATGATCACTAGATTCTAACATGGCCCTTCATCACTTTTTCTCTCCCTATTATGTTTGTGCAATGCTCTAAATGTGCTTTGGCACTGTGTCAATAGAAACAAAGAAAGCAGAACAATTTCTCCTTTTGCCACTGTGTGTGACAGTATTTGATTAGGCACAGAGATGCTGGGTACTCCAAAAGACAAAACACACAAAGAAAAATACAACTTACTCATCCTCCTCCTGCATCCTAGCAAACCCTCACTGCACACAGCTTAGTCCTCAAAGAGTTACCAACAGGAAGCCTTTGTTATGCAACGTGTCTTTCAAATGATCCCTAATCAAGTGTGCTCAACAGCGTTCCATGGTTTTTTGTAACAGAACAGGTCTCCTAAAGGACCAGTTTACCTGCTTGTAAAATCAGGTTTGTTTCCCAGCATGCTGACCAATCTATCAGCCTTTCTGTGCATTTATCATTACCACTCTCTGTTGGAGGGTTAATGGCTCACAAAAATCTGATTTCCAGTAGGATTAATCACTTTGGACAAGAAAGTGGTTATCTGCCAAATGTGTCTAAGTTCATCAACCAAACTGATGGTCCAATTGAACAAAGTACACAGCAAGAAAATACAGATCACCATGGCTCACTGGCCAGCAACCTGCCATCAGTATACGGAAAACAGTCTGAAAGCAGTGAAATTCAAACACAAAGATCCTGATGCACCCTCCTCTTCCACAGCCCTCAATTTAAGCCTTTCACCCACAGCACAGAAGGACTATCACCTCCTTTCCCAGCACCCCCACTGTAAAAAATGCATATTTAATTATTTTTTTTGCAAATATTAAAATTAATATTATATGTGTTATGCTAGAAAGTTATGCTGTATTAATTTTCTCAAGTAGTGTGTTAAATATAGTTTAGGATATAACATAATGTTAAAATAGAAACTATGTATGTGGGATATTTTTTTAAAGAAAGGAATGAGGTACTTGTACCAAACAGCAGCCACAGGACACCTAAATCCTTCAGACAAAGAGAATTTATTGCCCCATTATCAGAAGAAACAAACTTCTTCCCATCTTGCTCAGCCCTGAAGATTAGGATTAAGAGGAAGAAGTTGACGCTGACCAGACAGAATCCTTTGTTTGAATGGAATTTATGCATCATGTATGAGGTGTATGAATATGCAACAGGCTGTTGTTTTTAAGGGTTAATCCTCTATTAATGTGTGTCCTTTTTCAGGCTTATTTTGCTCACAAAGAGGTACCCGGACTGTTCCTAACTCTTTGTTTTTATTGTCTCCTATTGTCCTAATCTCAACTGTTCAAATTTTTATTACTCTAATTATACTGCTATTTTTATAACCATTTTATTACTATTAAACTTTTAAAATCTTAAAAACAAGTGATTGGCGTTTTTCACCCCCACTTACCCAAGTGGCCATAGCCCACCACATTTTTGGCACTCTGGCCCAGCCGAGCCCTCATGTCAGTCACAAGGTCATAGAGCTTTCCCACGGGCAGGGAGATGTCATACTTGTACACGTAACCCTCGTGAGTGAGGGCCTCGGTGATTCTCTCCCGCAGGCTCCACAGCACCTGAGCAATCAAGGAGCACAGAAATCCGTATCACCCAAGCAGCTCTTGGGCTCCATGCATACACCAAACCTGAGTCTGAACACTTCCCTATATAAAACACAAATCCACGTCAAAGAGATTTGTGGGAGAG